TACTTGTTCTCGCCGTAGCTCGTGATGTGTTATGCTTTCTTTTAATCAGGTGGCAAGTCAACATTTTCAAGTGCAGTCTCATGCAGAATTACCCCAGTCCAAGCCCACTGAAATCAAGGGGCTTAAGACTGTAATAATTCTGCGTAGGATTACACTGTTCATTAGTCAAGGAAATCAGCTGAAAATTTTGGGTCGATTAAAAATGTGCCCCCAGTCAAGCCGATTTCTTTCCAGCAGCAAGAACAATAACATCCACTGCAGACATTCGCTCACTTTGGCTGTCCTTGCTAGCCAGCCAACACTGATGCTTGATACAACTTTGCCTGCTTTCCACTGAGGAAGTGGTGGCTTGTCTCTGCCATCAAGTTAGATTCTATTTTATTTATCGTCCACCTTTCTCACTTGGGACTCGAGGCAGATGAATCTGAATAGTATAATACATACAATCAGCAGCACAATAAAATGGGATATCAAGGATGATCAGCCTGTTGGTACCTGTCATGCACCCAGTGCGCACTCTGTGGACAAGCCCCTGCCCTCCTCTTCCTCCTGAGCTTAGATTGGCTTTGTAGTCATGCTGTGCTTTGGAGGTGTTCAGCTTTGGAGATAATTCTCTGCTCTTCCTCCGCTCCCGCTGAGGTTTCGAGTTCGCCACCTCTGCTTGCATGTGCCTTTCATGATGAGGGTGGTGAATGAATCTGTGGCTCCCTAGTTAACTGTTATTAACACAAGTCAGTACACAAGCCGCAGGTGGTGGACACCATCTTCTTTCTTGTACAGAAAGAACTGTCTCTCTTAAGAAATCACCTGCTCCCGTGTGTGATTTCACCTTAGAAAAACAAAAAAGTGTGCTTTCAATTTCAGAACTCTTGTGTTTGTTCACACGCAGATTTGTGCAATGTTGATTGATCGGTGAATTAAAACTCAGTAGGTCAAGTCACCTTTAACTGAACAGCAGTTCAGTGTTGGAACTGTGTTTGTTTCACCTTCCCTTCCTGCAAGCAACCTAATTAACGCTTTCTTTTATTTACTGTAAATTGGCTTGAAGTGTTTTAGTTAAGGTGAGAGGATGAGCTAATTAAGTTTAGAACATCTGAGGGTCAAAGTGTTTCTGGGGAACCATGTTTGGATCCCGCAGTCTGCAGTTTACCCTCAACAGTTGATATGGGGTAAGATTCTGTTGCCGGGAAAGGGGGCTTAACTCTCCCTTCTGTCAAGACTTGAGTATCTTGAGTGGCTTTTAGCCCTCATACAGGAAAATAGCAAGTACCTGTATTGTGCCTGTTTGGCTTCACGACTTTTAAAATAGATCAGGAGGAAAGGCCACTTTGATCAGAAAACAGCACAAGGGAAAGGAAGAATAGAAAAACAAACCCTTTCCCAGCATCATGGGTTCCTGAGCTGTTTCTAGTTACATATTGGGGATCTGATCACAAATCCCCAAAATTGCATGTAATTTGCTCCTCACATTCTGCCCACTCTTTAAAAGTGCCCTGAAGCTTGGGTCTGGGTTTGGGTCGCGTGGTGAAAGCCAAGCTGGTGGGAAATTTACAGTTCCATCCTAAACAGAATTATGTTGCTAAGCCATTGGACTTAGATGGGTGTAACTGTTTAGGATGGTATTGCCAGGCTGCCTTCAGATGTCGTGTGTAACAGCGGGTAAGGAAAAAAGTGCATGATTGTGGCTTGTGGGCCGAGTTATGTCATGCACTTTACTCCTCCCTTTCACACACTGAGAATCCTGGTTAAGAATTAACTTTGGTTACTCATGATGTACGAATGCAGGTGTGTGGGCTAAGCAAATTTAATTCTCTGTCTTCTGCTAATCTGGAGCCTGGATAGTGGGAGCAGGAGGGACTACTTCTGTTTAAGAAGAAGAAGAGAAGAGATTGGATTTATACCCCACCCTTCACTTGGAGTCTCAGAGCGGCTTACAAACTCGTTTCCCTTCCCCTCCCCACCACAGACACCCTGTGAAGTAGGTGGGGCTGAGAGAGCTCTTTCAAAAACTGCCCTTTCAAGGCCAGCTCTTGTCAGAACTATGGCTTGCCCAAGGTCATCCAGCAGCTGCAAGTGGAGGAGTGGGGAATCAAACCCGGTTCTCCCAGATTAGAGTCCACGCATTTAACCACTACACCAAACACATAAGTGCCAGCATTTGTATGTCTCTGTTTAATCTCAGTTAGCATTTCATCAAAACTCCTGGTAAGGGGAAGGAGAAGTGAGGGAAACTGGGATTACATTTTTCCCCTTAACAGTGGTTATATGCAAATGCAGCCTTGGAGGGGCTGGTGTCAGGAACCCTTTACAATTTAAACTACATCAAAATTCAGAGTAAATTATCGACAAAGAGCCAATATAAGAAAGCCCTTTTGCATCCTTAAAACCATGCAGTTTAACATTACTGATAATTGACATGTTGATTAATAATCCATAAAGTTTCTACAACCCAAACACTGGCTGTTGTGAGTCTTCTGTTAAGAACCAGCACATGCAAAGCCTCACAACCAGCATTAAATATACTTGGGGGCATACCAGGCATTAGTTTTAGTGCGTTGGCATAAATCTGTGCATGTTTTACACCTGGATTACTGGCAACAGTTTACCTTGATCATTTCCCTCCCTGAAAAGCATCTCTGAGAAGCCTCTGAGGTCCGTAAAAACCTTTGTCTACAGGTCTCTTCATATACTTGTTATTCTGGTATCCCACCTGGTCCTCCAGTATACTTTAACTTCTTTTCTTTTTTTAAAGAGCCATATTTGCTTCTGTACATTCAGCTCAAGAGCCATAGGCTACAGACACATGAGCTAACTTTTGCTGGGTTGCATCAGAGGTGATCTGATGCTCAGGGGAGGACAAGTGGAACGTTTGGTAATTCTGCTGTGCGGGCCACCAGTGGGGTTTGCTTGGATGCATGGTGCCAAAGGGGGTGTTCAACAAAGTGTCTTTGAGCTGGAGGGGAGAACAGGTCAGTTAAACAAATTGGGAAATTGAAAGCTGTTAAACTACAGCGTCCCCCCCCCCCCGGAAGGGGTTGCTAAACAAATAAAATGCATGTGGGAAGTTGGTACGTCCCCTTTGATATCTGACTCTGATGACGTGCACACCAACCTGTTGCTTGCTGTTCTATAGGTAGGATTGTAATGGTTTGGGTATTAGGGCCCGATTCATACATGCATGGTAAAGAGGCATTAGAATGGACAGTAGCAGACAACAAGTGGAGAAGAACCATGGATATTTCAAATTTTGGAATGCTCGAGGATCCAGCACATCAGGGGGTAGAAACTTTCCCCCTTCGGTACTAGTTTCTTGTTTCATGGAGGGTTCTTTTTGGAAAAAAAAATGTGAAAAGGACATCCGTAGCTGGACTCCATCTTCTGCAGACTTAAGTGATTTCATCCATTCTGCCCCCATGTCCTGCATGTGTGAATGAGACCCGAGCCTGCTTCGCTAGCTTGATCGAGATGAATAAGGAGGAGAGGCTGGTTACGTCCCATAAGAACCACTCCTACCTCCCTTTGGTAGCCCCACTTTATATAAAAAAGTAAAATCTGTGTTTCTATCTTTTATTGACTAGGCGTCAGGTATTGCATTGCTTATATTCAACCCCAGAAGGTATTCTGGCGCCTGGGGAGAGACAGACCAGGATTTTTGCTGGCTAGGGGAGAGGGCAGCTTGTAAATTTGACTGCCATGTATAAATTATTTGGCTGTTGTGGGCATAACATTCTGGTTACCTCGGTGCAGAGTTTGGCTTTTATTTTTAGTACGAAGTGTATACAGCCTTGATCTTGTTCTCCATACAGTTTCAGGATTGCCACCTCTTGGTTTATTTTTGTTGTTTTAAAAAAAAGAAGTCCAGGGAGTGTTTTTTTTTTAAAAAAAATGAGAATACCCCTCTTTGAGAACGGTTGGCCTTTAATAAATCCAGTAGCTATCGATGGACTCTGGCATGCATGACATAGAAGCAGCCATTCGCCCCCTTTTGTTCTTGCCTCCCCTTCCTTTCCTCGGCTTTGCAGCCAAGTCCAGCCTGCCCCCCTCCCCCAGGGAATCTCTTCCACTGACCCCTGTGGTTGAAATGCAGCTTCTGATAGGCAGGCGGCTCCTTTCGCCTGAACCATCCCCGGCTCCCAGAGAGCTCGGCTGGGTTTATTTATAGCTGGCCCCTCCCCACGTTCTATTTCAGGTCACCCCCGGCAGAAGCCATCTCGTTCTGTGGCAGGAACGGGGAGAAACAAAATCGCTGGAAGGGATCCGCGGCTTGTGCCTTGGTAAAAAGGGGGTCTTTGCAAGAAAAATGACAGCCGTCGTTTTTGCTGGAGATTGCTTCTAGAGACTAGATTCACTGCTCTGGTTTTTTGGGTTTTTTTTTTTTTTTGGTGGAGGACTTTCCCCCCCTTTTTGATTTTTTTCACCTGTCTTGTGCCTAGGGAGGTGTTGCTAAATCTACCTCTCTCAGTGTGAATCAGATTGCACCTGAAGTGTAAAATCTTCCTCCACCCACCCTTATCTGTCACCCTGCTCTCCTGCATCTCGAGATTTCATCAAGCTCTTTTTTCTGGAGTTGAGAGAACAGTTGTCTTCCGTCCCTTCTCAAACCCCGAGAAGATTTCCAGATGTGAGCACATGCACCCCCCAAAATTATTTTCCTTTCCCAGTGGCTTTAATTTAGTTTGGAGTTTGGTTTTGTTTCCCCCTCCCCTCATTGCTGAGAGACAATTAACTTTCCCAGCAAGACGCTTCCACAGAGAAGGACGGCTGTACATGTTTGTGTCTGGAATAAGAAGGGGATGTTGACTAGCTTGAGAAGGCTGTACAGCACCAAAACAGACAACTCCCCAAGCCTTTCGGTTGTGCAACGGATTGTCATAAAGGGAAACTGAAGTGGATAACCGGCAGTGCCTGATTGCTCCTTGGCATGCTTCTTGTATCCTCGGCACGGGGACTGCCAGAGATGTTGCAGACGATTTACGAAACCGAATCGTGTTTCTCTTCAGATGGAGTCTCTGGACGCGAACCATCGCTGGAGCTCCTGTCGCGAGCGCAGATCCATGCCATACCTGTGGCAGGTGAGTATTTGCACACGAGACGTGACTTGAGAGCAAAGAAGTCAAGCATGTTTGAGCTTTGGTTTGGACCTTGAGACAGAGCAGCTGATGTGTAGAAAGCACAAGAGAATGTTCTTGTATGCTGTGAATCTGAGTTCAAAACGATTGGTGCTCTGTCAGATCTGGCCCGCGTGTGTCAGAGAGCAAAATGGGAAAATATCTCAGCTGCTTGGAATGCCCTCCAGTTGGAGATTGGTACCTAGAAATGTGATTCTTTGTTCAACACTGAAGCCTGAAACAGTGGATGTTTGATGCTGGAAAGTAGGGGTTTCAATATGATTTTATTCATGGTTATAGGCTTTCCAAGCTGGCCCCTTGAAATAAGTTGTAGAACTCATGGGCGTCTTATTTTGATGAGAGTTGAGCACTGTGCTGAGCTTACTTGTATGATCTGCCGGCTTTCTCATACATATGTGGTTCAGCCAACATGCATGTTCCTCCACATGGGTTGTGTTTACTGGATTAGGGTGAGAGTATATCTCACTCGAAATTTCTCTCCAGCTGCTTTACAACAAAGGAATGGGTTAGATTCCTAAGCTGTAGCTGTGCATTTGAAGCCAACTGCTTCATGCGTTCTGTGCCTCACAAGAACATGGAATTCAGCCCTTGGTCTCTCAGAGGGCTCCATGTGGTTGCATCTGCACTTAGCAACCATTTCATGCTAGGAACCACTTTTCCCTCTCCATGTAACTACTGGTCTGCAAATGTGTTTTCCAGGGCATTCATGGGGCCACTCTCTTGATTGATAAAGGCCCCGCGAGAGAATCTTTGTGGTGATTCTACCAAGAAGGATATGTGGTAAAACTTCACCTGGGTCTTCAGTTGTGGCCCATTGAGGTAAGGAGGAAGGCCCTCCTTACCATGTGCATGATAGGTGCTGCTACACCATGAGGATGAGCCTACATGATGTGCAGTTGCTTCCAATACTTTGAAAAGTCAAGTGGTTTAGACATTTCAAGATGTGAAGCTGGTCTCTAGGATTCTGCAGTACTACCTCCAGGAATTTGTAAAGAGGCATGCACATATAATGTGATATAATTCTTATCTTATGGATGATGACAAAAAATAGCAAAAATATGCATAGTTGATCCTCCTGTGAGAACATGGAACCTTTTTCTTCCTTTACTGCTAGCCCTTGGCTGAGCATGAGCAACTCATTGTTCATTCCCTATCCTAGGAACTCTGTGCATGTCTCACAGGTTACTCCTCCTGTTCAGAGGCACAGGTAGCCTATACTTCTTGGAAGAAGTGAAATGGTGAAATCTTCAGACTGGGAGGTGCCTGCCGGCTTTCCATGCATTCAGTGGCTGTGTGCATTTCTGTGCCCCTTGTACTCAGCCATGTTTCTGGATGAACTATTTTTCTTGCCTGTGATTGTACTCATTATAATTTTCTTTGGGATGCCCTGGTGATGGATTTTGCTGATCCTCTGGTTGTGGTCTGGAAGGTGGTTCTCCCAGTTACTCTCTCTGATGACCCAATTTATTTATTTATTTATTATTAATTCAATTTATACCCCACCCTCCCCGCCAAGGCAGGCTCAGGGCGGCTTTCATAAAATTCCATATGTAATGTTGAGGGGAGATAACTGTTTCCCTGTGGTTTGAGTGGTCTTTTTATTCTTCTTCAGAGTAACACTTGGCTCGCTCACTTGAGTGATATGGCACAGTTTGCTCTGCAGGATTTTTTTTTTTTTTTTTGCATGGGGGGGCTGTGCACAAATGTTTTCTAGTTTTGGCCCTTGGATTGCTGTGTGGGTGGAGCTGAGCGCGTCAGTGCATTCTGGTGGGAAAGGCAGATTGGATTAGATGGGTCTTTTGATGATTTCTGGTGCTGTGACTCTACAGACTTCCTGGCAAGTGACATTTTTGTGGCTTTATTGTAAACCTAGACTGACATCACTATGTGGAGATCACAGGGAGACCTCACAGCACGTTTGTGTAAAGAATTGTTCTTCTTTTTTTAAATGGAGGTTCCTTTGAGATTTTTTTTAAAAAGGGTGAGCATTTGTTAGAGATCTTGTAGACGGTATTGAAACTGGATCCTGGATGAGATGATCCAGGTGATCTTTTCCAGCTCTATGACCTCTTCTGTGCCTAGTATGTTGTTGGTCCTAAATCTGTTGACTCTTAGACAGTTTAATGCAGCAGAACACAAGTGTAACACTGGTGCTGTATTTCTGTTGCAAATGTGCGCCATACGGAAATAAAATAAGCATGCATTATATGGGTCTTTCACCATCCATGTATATGCACCTGGGAGATCTGAGCTAGTCCAACTTCCCAGGCTCCCGTACACAGGTGCTCAAAGAGGTGCGCCCATGCAAGCTTTGCTTCCATTCTTTGTGTGTGCTGTGGACAACAACCATAGTACTATCAGTGCTTCTTGTGGCAGCTGCAATGTGTGGTGTTGCCCTTCGGTGCGTGCCTGAGCAGTGGAATAAGTTGTCTAGGGAGGTTATGTAACTTCTTTCCTTAGAGATTTCAAGCCTGGTTTACGCATGCAACAGCATGTGGAGGTGAAATGGACTGCACTCAAATACACTATACATGGGAGGGGGTGGTCCTAGTTTTTGAGAGCCCCCATATGCAAACCCCCCCCCCGCCCTCCAACCCCCAAAACAAAAAACCCACACACAATAATTAGAAAATTAACATAGCAGGAAGCAGACTGGCCTAAAATATCTCATTTTATTGGTTATGTTTTGCTTTGAGAGCCAGTTTGGTGTAGTGGTTAAGTGTGCGGACTCTAATCTGGGAGAACCGGGTTTGATTCCCCACTCCTCCACTTACACCTGCTGATGTGACCTTGGGTCAGTCACAAGCTGTGGCACAGCTGTTCCTGAAAGAGCAGTTTGTGTCAGAGTTCTCTCAGCCCCACCTACCTCACAGGGTGTCTGTTGTGGGGAGGGGAAGGGGAAGGCGTTTGTAAGCCGCTCTGAGACTCCAAGTGAAGGGAGGGGTATAAATCCAATCTCTTCTTCTCCTCTTCTTCTTGCAGGGATTTTTTTTTTTAAACAGCTTTAAAAACATACTTCTAGGTGCAGTCCGAAGTGGTACAATGTATGGAGTGGGCCTATGGCTCAGTGTTTTGCATGCGGAAGGTCTCAAGTTCAGTCCCTGGCATCTCTAGAGGGTAGTGGCATGTTAGAAGAGATGTTTCTCTGCCTTAGACCTTGGAGAGTTTCTTTTACTAGTCATAACTGAGATAGCATGATGTAGTGGTTCAGAGCAGTGGACTCTAATCTGGAGAGCTGGGTTTGAGTCCCCTCTTCTCCACATGAAGCCTACTGGGTGACCTTGGGTCAGTCACAGTTCTCTCAGAACTCTCTCAGCCAGTTTGGTGTAGTGGTTAAGAGCGGCGGACTCTAATCTGGAGAACTGGGTTTGAGTCTCCTCTTTTCCACATGAAGCCTGCTGGGTGACCCTGGGTCAGTCACCATTCTCTAAGAACTCTCTCAGCCAGTTTGGTGTAGCAGTTAAGAGCAGCGGACTCTAATCTGGAGAACCGGGTTTGATTCCCCACTCCTCCACGTGAAGCCAGCTGGGTGACCTTGGATCAGTCCCAGTTCTCTCAGAACTGTTCACTCAAGAGCAGTTCTCTCAGAGCTCTCTCAGCCCCACCTACCTCACAGGGTGTCTTGTTGTGGGGAGAGGAAGGGAAGGCGATTGTAAGACGCTCTGAGACTCCGAGTGAAGGGTGGGGTATAAATCCAGTCTCCTTCTCAGAAAGATGCCTGTTGTAGGGAGAGGAAGGGAAGGAGATTGTAAGCCACTTTGAGACTCCTTAAAAAAGCAGAGTATAAAAACCAACTCCTCTTCTTCTTCTTGGATGAACCGGCAGTATCATATTTTCAACACCGTTAAACCATCTCATTCTGCTATCTTTTTAGATGGGGGTCTAAGCCACGTGTTAGTCTCCAAGGGGAAACACCCGTGCCCTGTGCTTCCATGAGTCCAAAATGATACACACAACTATAAGAGAAAATGGGCAAAGTGGTAACCAGAGCAAGATGCCCATTTTAGCATCCCCCCCCACTCCTGTAATGTATCACCCAGCCCAAGGTAGTGCCTTCAATTGGTCAACTGGCTGTGTCAAAATTTGGAGGAAAGCTTGAATCTCACAGCAAACTGGATGTGGTGAGTGAGCAGAGAAGCTCCAGACAGACAATGATGTGCCAGATTGGGCTGGTTTCCCAGCCTTGCTGGAAGTTCAAGGAAACACTGAGCAGACATTGGGGAGGAAGACTTAAGGTATGGAATGTCCTGCCATTGGATTCCTTTAATCTTTGCACATCTGCAGAGAGTGTAAAAATGTCTGGGGCATCGGCTCTGTGCAATACTGTGGACCCGGGCATCCATTTCTGTGCTGTCTGCGTTGCCGTGATTTGGACTCAGGAGGGTTGTTGACAAATGGGAAAAAAGAGCTAGAAGGACACTCAAAGGTCTAGAAAGAAAATCTAAGCTGGCTATGTTTATCCTGGTGTGTGTGTGTGAAGTTTGCGCGTTCCACTTAAAGCTCATCCCTGCTCCTCCTCTGCCATTGGTTTGCGCGTGTGAAGAACAGAAGGGCAGTTCTGAGTGTGCTTGCATCAGGCTTCTGTATTGATCGAAGGCCATGCAGGAAAGTTGGTTTATAATTGCATTTCAGCCTTCCTGTGCTTTGCAACGCAGAGATAATTTTGGCCTGAAGGAGATAGTTTTCGTTCAAAAGGATGCCAGGCGGGAGGGGAAAAAACCTAGGCAGAATGGTAGGCCTTATTCTCTGCTGTGCATTGGACAAGAGGCAATGAGGGCTTTTGCCTGTTAAGAAAACAAATGAAACATTAGGGAGAATTTAACTACCTTTTGAGGATGGAGCTACACATTACAGAAAGATATAAAAATGAAATTTCTGGAAGCAGCATCTTCTAGGGAAAAGTAGCGAAGCGGGCCCTTAGCTCTTTCCC